GAATGGATAAAATAAAATGTGGTATGCATAATTACATATCATTTAAACATAAAAAAGAGGAGAGGGTGGGGAGTGGGTTAAACTGGTAAAGGGGATTAGGGAATGCATTTGTTGTGATGAGCAACAGGTGATCCATAGAATTGATGAATCACTATATTGTACACCTGAAACCAATTTTTTTTTCAGTTAAAAAACTGAAAACAGTTTCTTAACACTGTAAAAAAACAAAATGATAAAAAAAAAATAAACTCAAAAGACATGGAAAAAAAGCCCTAAACAAATGTGTATAAAATACCTAGAATAATACTTGATACAAAGTATACAAATCAAAAGAACTATCCATAAAGAGGCATCCGGGTGGCACAGCTGGTTGACCATCCAAATCTTAGTTTTGGCTCAGGTCTGATCTCCAGGTCTTGAGATGGAGCCCCGGTCATGAGACGGAGCCCTGTATCTGGCTCCACATTCTGGAGTCTGCTTAAGCTTCTCTCTCCCTCTCCCCCATTCCCCTTCCCCACACTCCTCCCTCCCTCTCTCTCAAATAAATAAATCTTCTAAACAGAAAACTAAAAAGAAGTATCCATAAAACTACTGGTTTCCACTTGCTGACACCATGGTACCATATACTTAATCAGAGACAGAGGATACTTGGCCTGTTCCAGGTGAGTACTTGCTGAAACAGAAAAGCCATCCAAGCTTTGGTCACAGTCTCTCATAAAGTCTGACCACAGCTCCTGCTCTTTGGTTCCATGAAGTCTACCCAGTACCATTCTACTGGGTACTTATATACAAAAACGAATGCTGTTATCCCCATCAATAACTCTGAATACCAACCCAACAGAATAAAAATTAAGGTGGCATATTCACTCCCTTGCTTAAAACCAGCAGCTTAGAATACTATGGTACTGCTTATCTTGCCCAAAGAATTAAAAGCACATAGGGTTTATAATTTCATATATTTACAAGTTTTTTTATGGAGACATAGTGGGAGGCATCTATGCCTTTCATTCATTACCTAAACTAAACATTTATTCTTTTTTCAGATCCTACTCTATGCCAGGTACTCAGGAAATGCTCCATAAAGCATACATGCTTTGCCTTCACTGAGTTTACCAGGCTAATGAAGGATGCAGATCAGCAAACAGCATTTTCCATCGTATTTTAGGCAACCTGTAAATTAAAGATTTTCTAGCTTTCTCAGCTTTTACAATAATTGAAAACTTTGCAGAAAAGCTTAAAGCCAGTTGGCTTTTCCTTTGAAACACTTGAAACACACCTAAATCAGCTTTATACAAAGAAGTATCACATCAATACTTCCTTGTTATTCCAATCTGCTTGTCGAGTTTTTTCTCAAAATAACAGTCAAGTAACAAATGACAGCACTTTCCATTTGACTTTACTTTCATTGACATTTTCAAAAGTTCAATGAATAAAGTAACTACAGCATCAACCAAAATGACTTGGTTAACAATTATTTATGTATAGATTTACATTAAAATTATAGAAGACACTCCTGGAGTTAAAAATATGTGCATAAATTCTTCAAAGACTCCATATACCGTAATATCAAACAAATGGTAGTCATTCAAACTAATTTGATATGCCTAAATTATGTTCATCTATAGCATTTTAATAAAACTAAAAATACAATCTGTGGCCAAATTTTTTTGGTGTCTTATTTTATTGTTAACTCTTGCAATATGTATAATCTGTAAGTTTTATTTTGATAGCCAACAATATAAATTAAACATAAAAAGAAGTGTAAACTGCTTCTAATTGTGGTTAAGAAAAAAGTGGACGAGACAGAATGTGGATGCACAAACCACCAGAGAAAAACAGAAAAGCAATGAGAATATGAGATATTCAAAGGTCACAAAAGAACGAAGTATTCTCCTTTCCAAAACTTAAAAAAACAGTAGCAGTCCCCCCAACCTTGATGCAACGTTAAGAGTTTAAACATAAAATGCACTAAGTAGGGGCGCCTGGGTGGCTCAGTGGGTTAAGTCTCTGCCTCCTGCTCAGGTCATGATCTCAGGGTCCTGGGATCGAATCCCACATCGGGCTCTCTGCTCAGTAGGGAGCTTGCTTCCCCCTCTTTCTGCCTCTCTGCCTACTTGCGATCTCTGTCAAATAAATAAATAAAATCTTAAAAAAAAAAAAAAAAAAAAAGCACCAAGTATCCAGTTACAGTCATCCCCCCTTATCTGCAACTTTGTTTTCTGCAATTTCAGTTACCCATGGTCATCCCAAGTCCGGAAGCAGAGGATCCTCCTCCTAACTCATCATCAAGTCAACAGCAGCCTACTATCACAGACAGTATCATTCATCTCACTTCATCTCGTCATGTAGGCATTTTACCCTCTGATATCGTCATAAGGGTGAGTACAGTCTAAAAGATATTATCAGAGAGAGAGAGAGACCACAGTCTCATAACTTATTACCATATATTGTTCTATTACTAATTACTGCTGTTATCTCTTACTGTGCCTCATTTATAAATTAAACTTATCAGAAGTATGTATGTACAGGAAAATGCATAGTATATATAGGGTTCAGTACTATCTGCATTTTCAGGCTTCCACTGGGGGTCTAAGAACAGCCCCCCCACCTGTGAATAAGGGACACTACTATGACAGTGTAAAGATAAAATTTTTTTTAACGATTTTATTTATTTATTTGACAGAGAGAGCAAGTAAGAGAGAGCATGAGAGGGGAGAAGGTCAGAGGGAGAAGCAGAAGCAGACTCCCGGCAGAGATGGAAGCCCGATGCTGGACTCAATCCTGGGACTCCGGAATCATGACCTGAGCCGAAGGCAGTTGCTTAACCAACTGAGCCACCCAAGAGCCCCTAAAGATAAAATTTATTAGGAATAATCATTAAGATTAACTGATCACTTACTATGATCCAAAGTACTGCTCTAATTTAATCCTCACAAGCACCTTTACTACTCCTATTTTTATACAGCAGGAGATTACGTAAGTTGTCCATCACAAAGCTGCTTAGTGACAGAAACAAGATTCAAACCTGAACACTGTGGTCACAAAGCTCACTGTCTTAACTATTTGGTTCTTCTGTCAAAGACAGCAGAGTATGTTCTTCAGGATAAAAACTTCAACCCCAATCAAAAACAAAAGCAAAAATTTCATGTATGTCTTACTACACAAATTCTAAACTCTACTCCTTGGCGTCTAGGAGTGTGTGAGTGGAGAAGGGGGGGGCATTACTACAGAATTAACAGTGGCTGAGGAAGAGGGGAAAACATGTTTTTTCATGGATTTATAGAGTAATTGTTTAACCAATGGATACACTAATCTTAAGGTTAAGATTTATTTGTCCATCAACTATTGATTTCATTTTTCTATGGCTCTTAAATTAGCATTGCTTAATGCCAATACAACTATTAAGTGCAAACAGGGGGAACCCAAACTGCATGCCAATGTAAGACTGCCACTTTGCTGATTCAGAAAATGTTTAAGCATTTTAAGATTCTAATAATAAATGTTTTAAATACAATATTTAAAGTTGCTGAAGGAGAACTCACATACTTGCCTCAAAATATATTTAAACTCAGCTGACAAACAGATTTTAATAAGATTTAAAGATAGTCAATATTATTGGGGATGCCCCCTCCCCACACATACCCAATTTTTCAACCACGAAGTCATTATCTGTCTGCAAGGTGAGAAAATGACTGCAATCCAGTCAGGTGGGAGGAGAATGTAAATGCAATGAGGTGGAAGGTCAGAAAAGAAGCACATCTGAAAAATCAGACTCCTCTGAAGACCTGGTGTTTGTTCCATAAACTCCACAAAGTGATTCAATGCACACACTCCGACATAAGCTAACCACAGGTTTATTACTTGATAGCCTTCTCAAGGCATTGTATTTTAAAAAATAATAACCTCCCTGACGGTACATTTTATATTTGGCAATCAAATCTAGGTTTTTTTCTCTTAAACTGAAGTATAATTCTCAGTGTTACATTAGTTTCAGGGTAAATGGACCTAGAGGATTTTCTCTAAGTGAAATCAGTCAAAGATAAGTAACATGTGATTTCATTTAAACGTGGAATATTTTTTTTTAAATAACCTTAAAAAAAAAAATTAGTCAAACACCATTTTACATAGATATACATCCAAAAAGTATCCTGCCTAACAGTATCACTAGATAACAGGAAACCAGGCAAATAAAACCTTCCTAAAAATAGTATTTAAAGGGTGCCTGGGTGGCTCAGAGGGTTTAGCCTCTGCTTTAGGTTCAGGTCATGATCCCAGGGTCCTGGGCTCTCTGCTCAGAAGGGGTCCTGTACCCCACCCCCCTGCCCCGTCCTCCCTCTGTCTGCCTCTCTGCCTACTTGCGATCTTTCTTTCTCTCTCTGTCAAATAAATAAACAAAATCTTTTAAAAAAACGGTATTTAAAGTAGATAGTTGGGTATTCATTAATTAAAGCAGCAGAGCAATAAGTGGCAGGAGAAATTAAAAAGAGAAAACAGGAACAATATAAAGTAAAATGTCTAATAAATATACAATCAACACAAAATGTTGGTGAAATCCAAGATAAGTATCATATGGCTAGTTATAGCTTTCTTTTTCTGTTTAATAGCTCTCCCAGTAATCCGACACACAGCCAAAGCTATTCATTTGATCACTTTCATTTAAATTTCATCAACAGAAACATTTTACATTTTTAAAACTTTTAATGACATACCTTTATATATACAACGTTATAGTGCGACTAGTTTCCAAATTGGCACCATCTCAACTGTAAATACCAAAATAAGTTAACATGATGGACTGGGTGATACTTTAGTTGGCTAAATGAAAACTCCTGATAATCAAAAGAAAAAATCATGACAACACCTTAAAAAAGCTCAAAAGTTTCAGATATGAAGTAATGTATAGTGCTTTACGCACAAAGATCGGGATATTTTATTATTAGAATGCAAAATTATAAGTAAGTTATTCACATCAAGATTTCCCCCCATGTTCAAGGACTTACCTTCTTTTTATCCCTCATGGAGCCTTTGCCTCGGACCATTATTTTACATCCTGTTTCTGCTTCAAGCTGTTTAGCAGTAAGTCCTCTAGGTCCAAGGATTCTCCCAACAAAATTAAACTAGAAAAAAAAAAGTCACTATAATTATTCACTTGCTTGAATTTATAGCTCTTAAAATTATGTTAAAATGTGTTTTCACTTTGTCAAGTTAAAATGTTTTTTTAATAAATCTTAGAGTACATATGAATTTCTAGCCCAGTTTGAGGACATAATTACAAGAGCTCATTGTTCAGCATAAAGTTTCATATGTATTAACACAAAATATCAATTAGGAACATCCGTATCTACATAAACAGGTACTACACTGAACTGGCGACAACACGTAATCTGAGCAGAGTAAACCAGTGTATTAAAGAGTCTGACAAAACCTTAGATGCCTCCCAATACAAATCCTTCCCACAGAACCCTGGAATGTCAGCAGCACACAAGAAATTGTTCATCATGTTAAATAAGTACTTGCATTTTTTACAGAGATCCTTGGGAAAACTCCGTCTCATTTACATAACAAGAAAATACTTTCTCTAAAGCAATTATTCAGAAGGAATAGTAATTTTTGGTTGGCTTCCATAACACCAATGGCCAAATTTGGATTCCATTAAGTATTTCAGTCTTGAGAGTATAGCATTATTTACACAATTTTATGTCGGTACCTTATTTTTCTTCCTTTTTTTCCATTTCTAACTTTAACTTACACTACTAGTTTTGCAAGGAGCCTTAATTCTTTCCATGAGTTGGACAGTGATGAGAGTAATTGTGTAAATAACTGCCATCCCTCAACAGAAACTTCTAGTACAAAGGCTAACGGGAAGCACAGACTGACTCTGAATACTGAAAAGTAAAGTTCCCTCATTCACAGGTCAACTGCACAAAAGACACGAAAGTGAGTATTTACCATCAATTCCACAAAAAAGCCATGGTGGTTTTTAATTCAGTTATGCAAACAGGTACCGATTCCTATGTTTACGGCTTCCTACCTCCTTCTTGCATTTGATCCTACTATTAGTGTATCATCACGTAAAAGCAACATGCCAGCATTCGCTGCTGTAAGGGCTCCAGAAGCTAAGGCATTTCTCCAACCTTCTGTATTCCCAACAGTTTTTCACATTCCCCTCACTAAACTGCTCACCAATATTGCCACATCTCATAAGTGACAGACAAATCAAAGAAGGATAATACACAAGTCTAACTGGGAGAAAGCACCCTTTCCTCAGGGGATTTTAATACAACTCTGTCCACACCAACCTCATAGACTGATCCTACACACACCTGACCAAGCGCTACAAGATCGCCAATTCTGAAATTTGCCTTTATATTCAAATAAAACCCCTTATCCTTTCCTAGTTCCTTGACATATAGTACTTTATCCACCTCTTTAATCAACCCAAATCCCTGCCATCAACCATTTTTAACAACGAACGTGCTTCCAACCCAGAATCCCTTTTCTACATCTCCAATTTGAATAAACTCAAGAACTAAACTATTATTAAGTGTTTAAAAAAAACTCTTAAAGCACACAGATCCCAACTGATATCCAAGCTCCAATACTGAATAATAATCAGGAATTTGAAAGTCACATCAAATAAGCCTCAATTATACAACGGAGATGACGCTATCTGGCAGAGCTGTACTGAGGAGCGAATGCAGATACAGAATAACACATGTAAAAGGTTCAATACATGGTCTGGCACATACAGTGGATAATCAATAGCCTACCAAGTCCACTACAATTTCACTTTAGGAAACCTCAGGCCCTCAATCAAATGCCCAACTTAGTATGTCCATATAAGGCGACATGGTCCACAGCAAATTTGCCCTAGAGAACCCCAGAAAAACTTGACACTCAATCACAGAGTTCTGTAGAAAACCAGAAAGAAAAGGTGGAAACGGTACACAGGAAGCCAACAAACAGGGATCTAACTTGCAGGTAACAGGCTTGAGTTTTTGTCTCCATGAAGAGCACACCGCTACCTTCTCAAAGCTGACACTTGAGCTGTTCACCTCAAACTGAAGCTTGCAGCGGGTGAGCCCAGTCCATGAAGACGTGAGTTCGTAATTCAAATGTTCCATGCTTCAAACTTAAATACCAATAGACAGAGCAGGCCCACCAAAGACTTAAGAAGGGTAACAAGAAAGAGACAATACAAAATAAAGAAGAAAAGGCACCGTTCCTTGAGGAAAAGACTGCTGGTAAAGAATATCCAAAAGGAACTACTTTGTACATGACGCTGAAATATTTTCTAAAATGGCTGTATGCATTTGAAGTCCCCAAAGAAGAGGGTAAGAATTTGTTTTGATCCTTTTCTTCTCCAGCCCTTAACAATGTTTTTTATTTTAGCCATTCTGACACACTTGCTCAATGTCTGAATTAGCATTCTCCTTACTAATAAAGTTCACCATTTTTTTCAAGTTTAATGGTTACTCAGATCTATACTTTTCTTGAAGCACATGTGAAGTTTCTATTTTTCTACTGTGTTTTCTTAATTGGTTTTTTTTTTAAAGATTTTATTTATTTGTCAGAGAGAGAGAGAGCAAGCAAACAGGAGGAGCACCAGGCAGAGGGAATAGCAGGCTCCCTGTGGAGCAAGGAGCCTGGTGTGTGACTTGATCCCGGGACCCTGGGATCATGACCTAAGTTGAAGGCAGACACTTTATCAACTGAGCCACCCAGGCATCCCTCTTCATTGATTTCTACTTTGTGGTTTCATGCGTACCAAATACCTTTTCCCATCTCGTGGCTTGCCTCCTAGCTTTTTGGTTGTTGGTTTTTTGGTTGTTGTTGCTTTAAGATTATATATTTATTTATTTGAGTGAAAAGAGAGTATGTGCATAGAGGGAGAGAGAGTGAGAGAAGTAGACTCCCTGCTGAGCAGAGAGCCGGATGCGGGGGGCCCAATCCCAGGACCCAGAGACTCTGACCTGAGCTGATGGCAGATGCTTTACTGACTGAGCCACCCGGGTACCCATTGCCTCGTAGTTCTTTAATGGTGTTGTAAACTGAATTTAATTGGACTGAATTAATTTTAATGTATCTCAAGTTATCGGTCTTCTCTACATGGTGAGATCATTCCCCATCCCAAGATCAAGATATCCTTCTGTATTAACTTTTAGAAGCATTACTATTCTTTCACATTTATGTCCACAGTATACCACGAACTAATGTCTGTGATGGTACAGCTTTTCCTCTTTCTCTCACATGGACACACAATTGTCCTAGCATATTTTATTGGAAAGACTATTCTTTTCTGGGGCACCTGGGTGGCTCAGTGGGTTAAAGCCTCTGCCTTCGGCTCAGGTCATGATCCCAGGGTCCTGGGATCGAGCCCCATGTCGGGCTCTCTGCTCAGCAGGGAGCCTGCTTCCTCCTCTCTCTCTCTGCCTGCCTCTCTGCCTACTTGTGATCTCGGTCAAATAAGTAAATAAAATCTTTAAAAAAAAAAAAAAAAAGACTATTCTTTTCCAATTACTCTATGGTGCCATCATTGTCATAAATAACACCTATATATACTTGGGTCTATTTCTGAGTTCTCTATTTTATTACATTAATCTATTTGCTTATTCTTGCTTTAATATCACACTGTGTTAATTATTATAACTTTATAATAAATCTTAATATGCAGTGTCCCAAGTTATTCTACCTTGCTCTGACTCAAGAATGTCTCAGCTACTCATTCCCTTTGTTTCTGTACAGATTTTAAAACCAGTTGGTCAATTTCCAAAATAATACTGGTGGTAATTTTAGTTTGAGATATTATAACAGAGGCTTCAAAACCATGAGCATAGTATAATTTCTTTAGTTGGTCAGGTCTTCTTTAATTTCTATCAAGAATATACATAAGGCTTTTTTATTGTGACTTTACTCATTTTTGTTAGACCTATTCCTAGATATTTGGGGGTTCATTTTTGCTATTATATAGATTTTTTATCATTTTTGTTTCTTGTCTATGAACACGTAACTGAATGTTCTGTATTAAACCTTAAAATCTGCAGTCTGTTTCTTCATTATTATAATTTTTCTGTAGGTAGTTTTTTACTCTTTAGGTAAATAAACCTATCGCCTGCAAATAATGACTGTCATCTATCCTTTCTCCTTCCCAACCATATGGCACTAGCCAATACATCTCAAGTTCAAAGTCAAAGAAGAGCCTATCATCCTTCACTTGTTCCAGATTTCAAAATTAAGTTTTCAACAGTTAACCATAAAGCTCAAAGTAATCTGTAAACTTTTTGTAGGTGTAACTTTACCAGATCAAGTAAACTTCCTTCTATTTCTCAGTTTGCTAAAGGTTTTTTTTTTTTCTTTTTGAACCATGAGTGGACGTTTAAATTTATCACATTTGTTTACCATCTATTGAGACAACCATAATATTTCTCTTTAATTCTGTTAGTGCAGTGGATTACAATTATCAAATGTTAAAAAACCTTACATTCCTAAAATAAACTCAAGTTAATCTTGATGCAATATCCTTTTCATAAGTTATTAATTCAGTTTGCTATCACTTTGATGATTTTTTAAAATTTACATTCATAAATGCAACTGGCTTGTAATACCCCCCCTTCTCATAACATGCTTCTTCGGTTTTGGCATCAAAGTTATTCTGGCCTCAAAACGTGCTGAGGTACATTCCCTCTTTTTCTACTCTCCGGATGGGCTTTGTAGAAGACACATTATTTCTTCCTCAAATATTGCATAGAAATCAGTGGTGAAACAACCTGGGGCCTAGAGTTTTTCTCTGTGCAAGGTTTTTAATTATGGATTCAGTTCTTTAATTCAGTTTTTCCAGCCTTTCATATGTCAAGTTTGGTAACCTGTATTTACCTAGAAATACGTCCTAATTAGTTTAAACTTTCAAATTTGTTGATGTAAGCTTAGATCTAATTTTTTTCTCAGTATCTACAGAATCTGTAGTGATGTCCCCTCTTTCATTCCTGACTGGTTATCTATGCTTCCTTGTTCTTTATCAGTCTTCCAGTCCTTTCCAAAAGGTTACTTTTGTTTTTGCTAACAGGGGTAGAAAGACTTAAAAATGACAGTTATTCTTTCACCCCTAAAGGTATCTATG